CTGCAGGGCGCCGGTGCGTGCCGGGAAAACTGCGGGAAAAACGCGGGGAAAACTGCGGGAAAACTGCGGGAAAACCGTGGGAAAAATCATGGGGAAAACCACGGGAAAACCTCTGAGAAAACCCTGGGAAAACTGTGGGAAAACCACGGGAAAAACGCGGGAAAACCCTTGGAAAATCATGGGGAAAACCATAGGAAAACCCCCGGGAAAACTGCGGGAAAACAGCGGGGAAAATTGCGGGAAAACTGTGGGAAAACCACGGGGAAAAATGCGGGAAAACTGTGGGGAAATCATGGGAAAACAGCAGGAAAACTGTGGGAAAACCTCTGGGAAAACCTCTGGGAAAACCTCTGGGAAAACCACGGGAAAAACACGGGAAAACCCTTGGAAAACCATGGGAAAAATCATGGGGAAAACCACGGGAAAACCTCTGAGAAAACCCTGGGAAAACCGTGGGAAAACCATGGGAAAAACGCGGGAAAACCCAGGGAAAACCCTGGAAAAAAACGCGGGAAAACCGTGGGAAAATCATGGGAAACCCCTGGGAAAAAACTGCGGGAAAACCGTGGGAAAATCATGGAGAAAACCACGGGAAAACCCCTGGGAAAACCTCGGGAAAATTGTGGGAAAACCTCTGGGAAAAACTGTGGGAAAATCACAGGAAAACCTCTGGGAAAACCCCGGGAAAACTGCGGGGAAAATAGTGGGAAAGCCACAGGAAAACCCCGGGAAAACTGCGGGGAAAACAGTGGGAAAACCACAGGAAAACCCCGGGAAAACTCTGGGAAAAAGCTGTGGGAAAACCACAGGAAAACCCCAGGAAAACCTCTGGGAAACCTCTGGGAAAACCGTGAGGAAAACCCCGGGAAAACCCCGGGAAAACTGCGGAAAAACTCTGGGAAAGCCCCGGGAAAGCCCCGGGAAAGCCTCGGGAAAGCCTCGGGAAAGCCTCGGGAAAGCCTCTGGAACGGCTGCCCGGCTGCTCCCGGGGTTTTCCATGGATTTCTGGGATTGCAGAGTTTGCCCAGGCTGAGGCGGCCGAGGTGGACAGCGGAGCCGCCATGGACACGTCCGAGCCCGCCAAGGTCAGGGAATTCCCGCGATTCCCGGATCATTCCGGCACCTCCCGACATTCCCGACATTCCCATCCCGACATTCCCATCCCGACATTCCCATCATTCCCATCCCATTCCCATCCCGACATTCCCATCCCATTCCCGACATTCCCATCCCATTCCCATCCCGACATTCCCATCCCATTCCCATCCCGACATTCCCATCCCATTCCCAACATTCCCATCCCATTCCCATCCCATTCCCATCCCATTCCCATCATTCCCATCCCATTCCCATCATTCCCATCCCATTCCCATCATTCCCATCCCATTCCCATTCCCATTCCCGGGACAGGATCGAGCTCCTCCTCCAGCCCCTTCCATCCCAAACCCCTCCTGGATTCCCTGTTGTGGCTCCCGTGGGATTTTTGGGATCCCAAATCCCCCGGGAACGATCCCAAATGTCTCTGGAACGATCCCAAATCCCTGGGAACGATCCCAAATCCCCGGGAATGACCCCAGATCCCCAGGAATGACCCCAAATCCCTGGGAACGATCCCAAATCCCCCAGGAACGACCCAGAATCGCCAGGAATGATCTGGAATCCCTGGGAATGATCCCAAATTCCCTGGGAACGACCCCAAATCCCTGGGAATGATCTGGAATCCCTGGGAACGATCCCAATTCCCTGGGAACGATCCCAATTCCCTGGGAATGATCTGGAATCCCTGGGAATGATCCCAAATCCCCCAGGAACGATCCCAAATTCCCTGGGAATGATCCCAAATCCCTGGGAATGACCCCAAATCCCTGGGAACGATCCCAAATTCCCTGGGAATGATCCCAGATCCCCAGGAATGACCCCAAATTCCCTGGGAACGACCCCAAATCTCCTGGGATGACCCCAAATCCCCCAGGAACGATCCCAAATTCCCTGGGAACGACCCCGAATCCCAAGGAACGATCCCAGATCCCCAGGAATGACCCCAAATCCCTGGGAACAACCCCGGATCCCCTGGGAATGATCCCAAATCCCTGGGAATGATCCCAAATCCCCTGGGAACGATCCCGAATTTCCCAGGAATGATCCCGAATCCCCTGGGAACGATCCCGAATTCCCTGGATTTTCCTGTGGGTCCAGATGATCCCAGATCCCCCGGGAGCGACCCCAAATCCCTCGAGAACGATCCCAATTCCCCTGGGATGATCCCGAATTCCCGGAATTCCCCGCGATTCCCGCTTTTCCCGCAGGAGGAGGACGACTACGACGTGATGCAGGACCCGGAATTCCTGCAGAGCGTCCTGGAAAACCTTCCCGGCGTGGATCCCAACAACGAGGCCATCCGCAACGCCATGGGATCCCTGGCCTCCCAGGCCGCCCGGGAAAACCGGGAAAACAACCGGGAAAACAACCGGGAAAACCGGAAGGAGGAGGAGAAGAAATGAAATCCCCGGGAAAAAAAAAAAACGGAATTAAAAGGAATTTATTTCCCTTGGGAATTGTGGATATTAAAGGATTAAAAGGAGTTTTTTTGGGGTTGGGAGGAGTCGTTTGGGAAGGGGAGGGATTTTTTTTGGGAATGACGAGCGGGAGGGAATTGCGGGAATTGCGCGAGGAATTTCTTGGGAATTGCGGGAATAAATGGATTAAAAGGAGTTTTTTTTGGGGAGTTGAAGGAGTTTCTCGGGAATGGCGAGAAGAACTGAAAGGAATTGCTGGGAATGGCGGGGATTTGTTGGGAATTGCGGGATTTCTTGGGAATGGTGGGAATAACGCAAGGAATTTCGTGGGAATAAAAGGATTAAAAGGAAATTTTGGCGGGAATTGAAAGAGTTTCCTGGGAGCGGTCGGGATAATTGAAGGGAATTCCTGGGAATGGCGGGGAATTCTTGGGAATAACCCACGGAATTCCTTGGGAATTGTGGGAAGAGAAGGAATTTCCGGCCCGGCCTCAGCGGGAGCGGAATTTCCGCAGCAGCTCCCGGCATCCCCCGCGCGCTGCCTGCCGGGGCGGGGCTTGAGCGTTGATCGACAACAAAACCAACCAATCAGCAAAGGGGAAGAGCAAATACAGGCCAATAGGGGAAGGAGGAAGGCGGGGTTATCTATGAGTTGCAGCTATGCGGACCAATGAGCGACGAGGATTGGCTTGGCGGGCTTTTGGGCACTCCAGCCAATCGGAGAGCGAGGAGACAGAGACGGGTTTGAGTGACAGCGCAATCCACCAATGGCATCGCGCAACAGGCGGGGGTGGGCGGGACATCCCCTCAGCTCTGTTTGTGAGCGACAGCGCTGGCAGGGAATGGCAGGAGGGGCTTGAAGCGTTCTCGGCCCGGGCTGGGCGGGTTCAGGCGCTGAGGGACAAATCCCGCGCCCTGTAAGAGCCCCCGGCTGGGAGCCGCCGCCATGGACGCTCCGTGAGGCCAATGGCGGCCGGAACCCGCTCTTGATAAACAGCGCGTTTCCACCAATGAGAAGCGAGAACAGGAGGGGGAGAATTGAAGGACAGCCCTTTCCACCAATCGGCAGAGTGATGCGCCAGTCCTGGGAACCAATAGAAAGCGAGAACATCGCTGTGGGCGGGGCTTTCCGAGTTGAATGACACCCGCTCTCCCCAATTAACGCACCCTGTGGGGGGCGGGTCCCGCTCAGCCAATGGGGAGTGCGGACGGCCGCGATCAGCATTGAGTGACAGCAGTAATGACCAATCAGAACGCGCGCTTTGATGAGTGACGGGCGTTTCATCCTATGGGAAATCGCGGCGGGGGCGGGAACGCGCGGCGCGAGCGGCCGGCGGGGCCGTGGGGGCCCAAGCAGGAAGTGGCGGAGGGGAAGCGGCGCCGCTGAGGGGCCCGAACGGGAC